TTACACCTGGAAATCGCGCTCTGCTCAAAGCACAGCCGGAGGTTGCTCTGAAGCTTACCACTGGGATGGAGTGGCAGATTCAGCTGTCAGTGCCAGCTTCCCAGATCTTTCCTTGAGCCCGTGTCTCGGGGGAGGCCTAGGTTTCAGGCCATGGTCCCAGCAGCCTTCACACCCCTCCTCCGGGCTGGCACAGGGCTCTGAACTGCAAGCAGCGTCTGCCACTGCACCGAGCCACCTAGCTACTAGTCAGCCCCGCTCCTAGCCCCGCTCCGTGGTTCAGCAAGAGCAATGCTGTCTGTAGGCGGGAGCCACGGGCAGTGCAGGGCCAATGCATTAAAGGGCTGGTGTGTCACTGGGCCAGTGCCCCTGCACTAGGCTCCTGGACAAGCATGTTCTGACCTCTCACGATTCCCCCGTCCTTGGGTTTGCATGTGGAACAGTTTCTATGGCAACGAGCAGAGCCTTATAATTACTCTCTCAGCGGATGTTAATGGCGGACGTGGATTAGTTTCACAGAAATAGACTTGAGCCAGCGCCCCGTGTAGCTATCAATAGGGCATGGGGGAACATGCAGCCCTGCTATCAGCATGGGCACGGCTGCCCCAGTGTAGCCCTGGGGCCGGCTAGCCCAAACCCCTTGGCCCAACAGGGACCAGTGCTGGATTCCCCTGGGGACAAACCCCATTGTGTGCCTGGCTGTGCACCATTATCTTCCCAAGGCAATTCCTTCCTGACCCCAGCTGCTGATGCACTTTTATGCCCTGGTGCATGAGGATGGGGCTTACCCTCTTTAATCCCTAGTTCTTGGCCCTGCTGGATTTATGCATAACAGGGTCTAACCCTCTTGTGACACTTGGGCTGCAGGGGTGGGGAATGGGGCCAGCACTTGAAAGGAGATCAGCCCTCAGCAATCCCTGTTGCTCTAAATGGAGAATCTGCCCCTGCCCCTGTTGTTTGCGGTGGAGCTGCTGGGTGCAGAGCAGTGTGAGAAGCCGCCCCCGTTGTTTGGGCAGGTTGCTGGAGTTGAGATGGGAGCGTCTGGCCCTTACAGTCTTGTGGACATGAGTTCTGTTGGCTATGTCTCCATGGTGCAATAGAATCAAAGGTGCTTTCCCTTCAGTCTTCCTCTCGAACCTGGGGCCTGCGCCCAGGGGTGGGAGCCAGCACTGTCCTCTGGCACCCGCTCACTGCCCCTTAGCCAAGTCATTTCGCTGGGGCCCCACCAGGGCAAGGCTTCCCACTCACTGCAGAGGGAGGGGCTGGCAGGGGGCTCATGGGGCAGGTGCCGTGGGCAGCGTCTCCCATCACCCTGCCCCTCTTGTGCATTTCAGGCCCAGTTCTCCCACGTGGGCTCCTCCCTGCACCACCGCACCCCCTACCCCTACCGCACCCCGGAGGAGGTCTGGTGGATCTTCCTCCTCACCAACATCCTCTATGCGCTGGGCCCGCACCTCCTCGCCTACCGCTGTCTCCACAGCCCTGGCTTCTTCCAGCCAGCTGCTCCCACCGGCCAGGATGGGATCAAGAAGCATCAGTGAGGAGAAAGCCTGGCTCCTGCCTCCAGTGCCAGGACACTGCAAGGGGGAGCTGCTACCCTCCCTCCCCGAACACCCCCCCCCCCGGGCCCCAATATGCTCAGCCTGGATGGAGGCAGCAGGATGACGAAATCTCCGTCCCTGCTGGGTTAATAGCCGGGCCATGTGGCTCCAGGGGACAAGCCACTGAAGGGAAGGAGGATCCCTGCTTTGGGGGTGGGGGGGAGTTTCACAGCAGGCGGTCAGGGATTTTGTGCATGGCAGGGTCTTGTTCCTCCTCTTTGGCCCTGGGCTACCCCCGCCCCTCCATCCTTCATGGAGCTCTGAAGTTCTTTTCCAGGCCTGATTGGCACTTCAGCCCCTCAGCGGCACTCCTCACCCTGCCAGAAGGGAGCGCTCTGGAGTGAGGGCGTGTGTCTCCCTCCCCTCCCTAGCACCAACCACCAGGCCCAGGGTGCCGAGTGGTTGCTCTGAGCCCTCTTCCCCCTGCCTCCCTGTTGGCCTTTGTCTTGGAGTCCTTAATGGTGTTGGCAGCTGTGGGCCCTTCTGCCAGGACGGCCCTTGGGGTCCAGGCTGCCCTGGCACCAGGGGAAAGGTGATGGAGGCAGAGGTGCCTTGAGGCTGTGCTGGCTGCTGTGACCCTGGTGGTGTTTAGGGGCTTGGCTCTGGAGTGACTGGCCATGTCCTGGCTTGGGGGAACCTGTCTCCCGTTCCAAAGCCTGCTCCCACTGCCCTGCCCCTGTCGGTGCCATGGGGCACCCTGCAGCCTGCGTCTCCCTAAGGATTGCTGCTCACAGGGTCCTCTTGTTCTGCAAAGCCATGTTGGGTGGGTGGGGGAGGCTTTGTTCCCTAGCCATGCTGCAATGCTTAAAGAAGGGAGGTGCCAGAGACCCTCCGTAACAAACCGTTTACAGAATAAAATCATTTTGTGCTGTGACTTTTTAACCCTGCTGTGGCTGGATACTTTTTCAGGTGCTCACAGTTTCTGCTGCGGGGGGTGGATCGATTTCCTGAACTATGCTGTGTGGTTCTGACAAGGGTGCTCACTGAGAAGTCTCCCCGCCCCCCACAGTCTCCAGCCCCTGAGGGGATGCTAGGGCCTCAGCTGCCCTGAGCTCCAGTGTGCGGTTTGCTACAGAATAGGGCCCTCCTGCTTTCCACAGTGGCTACTGGCAGGGCCTAGCTGAGCCCACCCCCACCCCCCAGCTGCAGCCAGGAGCAGTGGGGCTTGGCCCCCCTAAGGAGCAGGTGCTCAGTGTCTCACGTTGGGCCACCACAACCTGCACAGCTCCAAATCAATGAGCCCTTGTGGGACGGTGCCTGCCCAGGGGAGGCAGAAGCTGGGCCCCTTCCCCACCCTTATCTCTTCACATGGGCTGCAGTGTACCAGAGAGGGCTCAGGTGTGTGGGTGGGTGGGTGGGGTGGGGTCGGGGGGCAGGGCTGGGTCTGTCCAGGGTGTCCTGAGGGTTCCAGCCCAGGATGCAGAATGGGGGGATGATGTCCCATGTGCCCGCTGCTCCCCTGTCTGAGCCCCGCGCTCCCCCTTCTCGTGTGCTGCCCTGAGGCTCTGCTCAGGCCCGACTCAAATGCTCCCCAGTCCAGGTCTGCGCCAGGGTCCCCCTCCCAGAAAAATGGGGCATGGGCAACCCAGCCCTCTGGGAGACAGCAGGGAGCAAAACGTCTCGAGCTGGGGCCAGGCTTTTGTGCACGGTTGCCAACTTTCACGCAGTGAATAAGAATACCGACTTTCACAGTAAGCCCAAAATCAAGCGAATCCCATTTCAAAACAAGCCAGTCCCTAAGAATCCCAACGCTTTATGTGACTAGATCCGCCCGGCCTGCAGTCTGGGACTGTGGTGGGCCTGCTGTGCACCCCTGACTCTCTCCCCCCTTGCCCCTGCTTGCCCCCCACCCCACTTGCCCCTTCTTGCTGGGAGCTGATAAAAAAAAAAAAAAAGGAAAAAAAAGCAATAAGCTTTGAGCCAAACAAGCTACAAGCCAAAAACTAGCCAACAAGCAGCTCACAAGCCAATTAAGTCAAAAACAAGCCCAGTTTCTGCATTTTGTTGGCGGGTTTGGCATGTCTGTGTTTGTGCTGCAGCTCTGAGCACTTGGCCCCTTGACTCGGAGAGCTGCCCAGCCCAGCCGGGGCTTAGGGACCCACCATGCTAAGAACACAGCATGGTGCAGGCCAGGGCGAGAGGCTGACAGGGACCAGCTCCAGCACCCCCCCATCTCCCTCCCCCACACCAGATCAAAGTCGTGGCCCCTCCCATTAACGTGCATTCCCTGTACACATGCCGGCTAGCACAGAAGCCTGGTGTGTGGGCCAGAGACCATGACCCATGCAACCAATTTAAGTTCTGAGGGCTGCACCGGGAGCTGGAACTCCTGGCTTTGGAAGAGAGTGGGGTGTAGTGGTTAGAGCAGGTACTTGGGCATCAGGATTCCTATCCCCAGCTTTGATGATTCCACTAACCTGTCTGTGCCTCAGTTTCCACATCTATAAAGTCTAACGTGTCCCTACCTCCAGCAGGGGCAGCTGTGGAGTGTATCTGCATGTCCATCACTGTGTGAGTCTGTGTCTAACCACTCATGGCTGGGTGCCTGGAGCTGTGCGTGCGTGTGCGTATTCACACATGCTCCTGTATGGTGTGCATGCCCGAGGGACCTGCAGGCGCACTAGTTCCTAGGGGTGCGGGTGCACAGCTGCGTGTCACTCACTTGTTTATACCAAGGTTTGGGGGCGGTTTTGCAGAATTCAAGCGAGTTTCCTGAAGCTTGGTGCTTTGGTGGGTTGGTTTGAAAGCCTGGGAGCTTCAGGGTGAGCCCAGCGACCCATGGGGCTCGCTACCTCTGCTGAACCTGGTGCTTCCCCCCCTCGGTGCCCTACGGCCCCAGGGCCTTAGTTAGCACATGCCTGAAAAACAGACAGAGGCTGGGGTGTGATCCCCCCATCCTGTCGCTCATGCCGCCGCAGCGTGAGCCCCGAATCCCAGGGGCCTACTCCCAGCAGCGGGAGCCACCCCCACGCGGGGCCTGCGGCAGTGACATGCGGGGAGCAGGGCGAGGGTCTCTGCCCTCAGAAGGCCCCGGTGCAGCGGCTGAGAAGTGGGGCACGGAGTGAGCAACGCCCGGGGGACTCGGCAGCCAGGCTGCAGGGTCGCAGCCCAGCCGGCGCTCAAGGGGCTCAGGCGAAATGCAGCCTTGGCCTGCTGCGTGTTAGCTCCTTCTCCTCTAACCGCTGAATGCCCCTGTCTTCCTGTGACCCCGCGGCACCCCCCGGAGATGAGGATTGAGGCCAGGCCGCCTGACTCCCAGCCCCTGGCTCCAGCCTGCAATGATGGCCGTGCAATGCCACCTGGCCCTTCCCCTGCCCCACCAGTGCCGCAGCCTGGGCAGAAGTGGGTGGGGGGCTCCGGAGATGCCGTGATCAGTGAGGGGATCATGTCCTCCACAGCCTGGGAAAGCAGTGGCTGGAGGGGGGGCCACAGCCAGCTCCCCTTGCCCTACCGGGGCAACCCCTTGCAGGTTACAGGTATCCCATCAGCCTGTCTGCTGCCCCCTAGCGGCCACAGCCCGGGACAGCGCGCACCTGCTCTGCCTGTCGCGCAGGAGGGCAGGTGGTTTGGGGGAGCTGGGCAGCACAGGCAGGAGGGAGCCCTGGGGAAAGAGAATGAAGGAGCCCAGGGGGCTTGTGGTTAAGGGCCCTGGGCCTGGGTTCAGGAGCTCTGGGTTTAATGCCCAGCTCTGCCACTGACTCGCTGGGTGGTCCTGGGCGAGTCACTGGGTCTCTCTGGGGCTCAGTGCTCCAGCTGTAAAATGGGGTGAATGATCCTTCCTTTGTCTGTCTGGTGCATTCAGGCTGTGGGCTCTAGGGGCAGGGACTGTCTCCTGCTGGGTCTGCTTAGTGCCCGGCACGAGGGGCCCTGATCGGGGTGGGGGGTCTCTAGGCGCTCCCCTTTTCGCTGTAGCAGACCCACCCCATGTCTCCCCCCACGGGCAGAGCATCCTGCTGTCTGCGGCACAGCCCCAGCTGCCAGCTCCCGGCAGTGACCGAGCCCGGCTCCTTTCTCCTTCCCAAGTCTTCCCCCCCCCGCCCCCTCCGTCCCTCCCAGCCCATCCGCAGCCGATAACTGCAGCGGCTCCAGTCCCCCGCCGGCCCCGCTCCTCGCCTCGCTGCGGAACTTTCTCTCCGAGCAGGGACCCGGCGCCCTCCTCGCAGATCCGGCTGGGGGCGGCCCAGGCAGGGGGAAGGAGCCAAGCCCGCGGGCCCCTCGGATGCACCGAGCCCACCTCCGCCAGCCAGGGGCTGCCCTGGGCCGGACCCCGCGCGCCCTGCCCCGGGACAATGGTGAGTGCGCCCCGCGGGGTCACCTTGGGCTGGGCGCGGTCTGCGGGGCCGGATCGGGGCCCGGGGGGGGGAGCGACAGAGAGCAGGACTCGCGGGGGGGGGGGGACACAGAGAGCAGGACTCGCGGGGGGGAAATGGCCTTTGATTACCCCCCACACACCCGGACCGATCTGCAGCTGGGGACCGGGCAGCTGAGCAGAGAGGATCCGTCCGTCCGTCCGTCCATCCCCCACACCCGAGCTCAGGGAGCTGCAGATGGAGCCGGTACCGCTGCGGGGCCCTGAGCCTGGAGGAATCTGGGTCCCCTCTGCCCAGCTGCTGCCCCTGGATTCAGCTCGTGCACGGGCGCAGCGGCCCCCGGGGGATCGGCCCCCACGCCACGGCCCGGATTGGGGCCTGCCGGGTACCCCGGGGCGCGCAGCTCCGCCAACCGCTGCAGTGCAGCGCCTTGGCCCTGGCTGTCCCCAGCGGGGCCGGCTGCCGGGACCTCCCTGCCAGCAGCTGCGGAGGTTGCGTGTGGGGTTAGCGGAGCCAGAGGCATAGCAGCTGCCCTGTACCCCACTGACACGCTGCATGCCCAGCCGGCCGGGGGAGCTGGGGCCCGGGGCACCATGCCACCCCAGCCCGCTCTGATGAGACTGCCCTGGCAGCCCCTGCAGCTGAGACCCGTCAAACTCATTCCGCAGAGAGCAGCTGCCAGCCGGCAGATCTCCCCTGTGGGCCAGAGCGGGGTTTGTGCCAGGAACAAAGGCAAAGCGGCCTTACAGCCTGCCCCAGCCCCCAGCAGCATCTGCAGCGTGACCCCCAGCTCTTCCCTGCTAGGACCCCTTAGCCTAAGGCCAGAAGGGACCTGCATGATCCTCCATCCCCGTACCCCACAGGCCGCCCCCACCGCCCTGCACCTGGAACCCAACAACTGGACTTAAACCCCCAGGGGACTAGGCCTTTGTGTGGCAAGGAACAGGAGGGATCCAGGTGCACCAGTGGCTCCCCACCCCCACAATGGCAGGGAAATGGTTAAGTGAGATACACCGAGCTAATCCAGGCAAGTGACCCACACCCCACGCTGCAGAGGAAGGTGACTCCCCCCACCCCAAGGTCCCTGAGACTCTGACTTGGGGGAAATTCCTGCCCGACCCCATCCCTGGCCAAAGATTAGACCCTGCCTGAGCATGTGGGCCTGAGAGAGAGAATATTCGGTGCCACCTTGTCTTTTTTGTGGCTGGATCCCCCAGCCCCCATGGCTTTGTCCTTCCAGGTGTGGGAACTGAACCCCTGCATGTTCCTTCTTTCTAAGGGGCACTGCAGATGCCCTGGCTCTGGTTGCCAAGGGCAGAGAGGCCACAGGTCCCAGCCTGGAGGGGATGTTTGTGTGTCAGCAAAGCTGCCCCACTCTGCCCAAGGCCAGTTCTCTGCTCTGCTGCTCAGGGGCTGGCAATGACCCCGGGCCAAGCGGGCAGGACTCACCAGCATTCCACACCCACATGGCACGCCTGTCGCACAGGTGCAAGTGACTGGGAATCACCGTCCCTTGGCATGGCCTCTTCCCACGCAGTTGGAGGGACCCAGGGCTGCACAGGGGAGCTGCCCCCCAGGGGCAGTGGCCATCCTAGGGATGGACCATTGCAACGGGCCACGCTCAGCAAGAGTCAGTCTCCTCTCCTGCCCCAAGACTTGTCCCCTCTCATGTGTCCAGCAGGTTCAGTGCTGGGAGGCTGGGTTCTGCCTTGGCAGCCACAGGGCAGGCTGGGACCTGGGCACCTACACCCCACCCCCTTGCTGGTGAGGTCCCCTTGAACCCTCCGTGAGGAAGGGGTCAGTGAGTGCACCACTCCCTCTCCCCTGTGGGTGGCAGGAATAGCCTCCCAACATTACACTGGGCCAGAGGGAGGAATTGGGAATGGCCCTCAACCTTTCCGAGCTGCACTAGGAGTGTGTGTGCGGGCGGGGGGGAGCATTCAGGAAGCAGACACTGTAGCCCAGCCCCACGAAAGGAGGGAAGTGAGAGCAATTCCCAAGGAGTCCTGGTCCCAGAAACTACCTGCCAGCTGCTTTCTGTGGCCAGCAGGGCCTAGTGGGCAGAGGAGAGCTGGGTTCTAGCCCAGACTCTGAACGCAGCACTCTGATGGCCGGAGCTGGAAAAGCAGGGGGCTGTGGGTTAGGACTGAGGGTACCAGCAAAGCGGGGTGTGCGGGGGAGCCCACAGCTGGGATAGCAGGGGGCTGCAGGTCAGGATTGAGGGGCACTGGAAGAGTGTGGGCGGGGGGAGAGGGGAGCCCAGGGCTAGGATAGCACTGGGGCTGGGGGTGAGGACTGAAGAGCATCAGCTGAGTTATAATAGCAAGAATTAAAAAATAACAAGAGTTTGGGAAAAGAAAAGGAGTACTTGTGGCACCTTAGAGACTAACCAATTTATTTGACTAACACGGCTGTTACTCTGAAAAGAGTTTGGGACTGGCTCGAAACCCTCCTGTTTCAGGACATGCGCTGCCCTCTAGCTAACGGGGGTCAGGAGAGGACTTTCCCTGGGAGCAGGTTGTCCCGTCACCGTAGGGCTTTTACTGGAGCTGCTGGTGACAGGACACTGGCCTGGATGGACCCCATGGTGGATCCAGTGGTTAATCATCACCCTCACTTAAACATTTCCCATCTGAATGGGACACAGGAATCTGAGAATTGCTGCATCGGGACAGTTTAGCAGGGGTTGCGGTGGATTCTCCATCACTGACAATTTTTACATCAAGATGGGATGTTTCTCTAACAGATCTGATCTAGGAATTACTTCGTGGCAGGTCTCTGGCTTGTGTTATACAGGGGATCAGATGACAGGATCACAATGGTCCCTTTTGGCCTTGGGATCTAGGAACTGATGAATCTCTGTGTAGCCAGGGTGCGGTCATGGCCCACGCTGGCCGGGAGAAGGAACACGAACATCTAAGTTTGGGAGCAGCTGATCGGCCCCCTCTCATACACAGACTCCAGCTTCCATCCCACCAACTACATCCTCATTCCGAGGAGTGGCCCACGTAGATGCTCAGAGCAAAGGGGAGCAGTTGGGGGCTCAGAGAGCCCCATGGTGCAGCCTCCCTGGGGTGGAGCAGGCAGCCCAGTTCGGTGGAGGAGCCAGCTGGGCACCATTCCCTCACGCAGTGCAATTAACCGGCTTCAGAAATAACAGTTTCGAGCAAAAGCTGAGCGCCCCTGCTCAGCAGGGCAGGTAATAGGTGCATTAGAGCCAATTTCATCACCTGCTCTTGATTCAATTTGCTTTAATCAGCCGGCGTAATGGTGTATGGCGCTCCGAGCTGGAGACAGCGAGGGGACAACACCTCCTTTCCCTCGTGTGGGCATCCCCTGCCAAGCAAGGATGGCACGGGCCTGCGCGGCAGTGAGATTCAGGCGGCACTGGCTGGGAGCTAGCTGTGATATCGTGCGCTTGGGGACCGCCCAGCACCCTGTGAGCACAACCAAAATCTACAGAGTAACTTGGGACGCTGGGACCCGCTGCAGGCTGGGCTGGGAGCCACGTGTCCAGCTGGGTGCAGCCCGCCTCATAACAGTACCCAGCTGCTGATGGGAGCGGCTGAGTATGTGTAACTCACATGGATGCCACGGGGCACTGTCTGGTGACACTTAAACTGAGTCAGAGGGGGAGTGGTGCCCACCCGCACTGCCCAGCTCCCGGTCTTAAGGCACTTTAGAAACATCCATCTCTCTCTCTCCATCCATCCCTGGCCATATCTAGCTATCTATCCATCCACCCTTCTGTTTCTGCATCTGTCAATACCTTGTCATCTGTACCTCTCTGCTGTCTGTCTCTCATACTCTCAATCCGTCTATCCGAAACTCCACCCTCCCTCTCTCTCTTGCACTCACCCCCAGTATCTGCCCCCGTCCCCTTTGCGTACTGGGTCACTCACGCTCGATGCCAGGAAAGCCACTGTCCTGGGCGCTTTGGCCTGGGCCTGGTTCTGCCCTAGCCTCGAAGGAGTCCCTGCAGGTTGTGTCACTGTCCAACATCCCTTTGCACAAGGGTCAGCCAATGGAACCTCCACGCCCCCTTTGCTCTTCAACCCTGCGTAGGCTCCGGGGGCTCTGGGGCAGGCCTGTAGGGGGCACCGGTCTCTCTAGGGCATTAGAGCTCTGAGCCAGGCCTGCCAGCCAGGGGTGAATGGGGGTTTCCTCTTCTCTCTGCTAGATGCAGCCTGTGTGCCGGGCAGCCACCCTGCTGCTTCTCATCGCCGTCCTCTCCTCCCCGCCAGCGCTCAGCGAGAGGGGGCGCAAGAAGGTCATCCACGTGTCAGGTGAGTGAGGGGCTGGCTCAGCCAGCTCCCCCAAGATGGGGTCTCCCCCCCACTTTGCTCGCTAAGGAGGTCTCAAGCGCGCCCACCCCAAGGGAATGGTCACCTCAGGGGGAAGGGAACAAAAAACGATCCACACAGGGCTGGGAAGGGATGGTTCCAGCCCAGAGACATGGGGAACTGTTGCCATAGAAATATCACTCAAACGTTTTCCCTGAGGCACCAAATGGGGAAACTGAGGCACCGAGCAGAGTCACATGGCCAGTCAGCGGCAGAGCTGGGAACACAACCCTAGAGTGCCAGTACCCAGCACTGGCCCCCTGCTCCAGCCCATCTCTCACAACTGCACCTTTCATAGAATCATAGAATCATAGAATATCAGGGTTGGAAGGGACCCCAGAAGGTCATCTAGTCCAACCCCCTGCTCAAAGCAGGACCAATTCCCAGTTAAATCATCAATTCCCAGTTAAATCACCTTTAATTCTAAGGGCCTCACTCACTCTCCCCCCTCAGGATAAGACAGGAGGCTGGGGAGGGGAGTGGGGGGCTCTGCACCCAGCACCCCGCAGGTAGATTTGATTTCCACCTGCAAAAGTGCATAAGACCCTCTTTCCCCTTAAATGGACAGGGCAATTGTCTAGTGCCTTTTAGGCTGGGATGTGGGAGACCCAGTTTCTATTCCTGACCTACTGCGAGACCTTGGCAAGTCACTTCCTTGCTTGGTGCCTCAGTTTCCCCTCCCACCCTTTATGTATTTAGTCTGTAACATGTTTGGGGGCAGGGAGTGTCTCTCACTCTGTGTCTGTGCAGCCTTTGTCTCCTACACAACAGGCCAGCTGAGGTCTCCAGGGGCTGCTTGGCTACAGGTACTGGTCTCACTTTATAGGAAGGCAGTGTTTCTAAAGGGTGCATACATGAACATGAGATGTTATAAGAATATTACTGACTCAGCGAGTACTTTGTGGGATGGTGATAGGAGCAGTTGGCTGGTACAGGTGGTTCTAAGAACTGGTCAAATTTTAATGAAACCAGATTTTCCCATGAAATTGTATAGTTCTGACAAAATTTCCTTTTGAATGTTTGTTTGTTTTAAACCTGCTTTCAAACTATCGATATTTTCAAAAGGGGAAATTTTGATTTGTCATTTCAAAGTGACTTTGTGTGCAGACATTGACTTTATTTTCTACATCAACCAACAAAACAACAACAATAAAAAACATAAGTTAAACAACAAGCACAAATTAAAAGTCATCATTTTAAAAAGGGTGAAAATCAAAATGAAATGTTTCAGCTGACCAAACATGAATTTTTTTAAAATTTCCATTTAGTGCAAAAATTCAAAATTTTGGCTTTTGGTCCCAATTTGAGCTGAATTTTTTATTTTTTAAATCTCAACATTTGTCATGAGGTGCCGCCTCTGGTTGTGAGCACGTCCTTCGCAGTGTTAGAGACGGTTATAAACTATGGTGCCACATACCATTGATCTGTTGGACTCTGACAATCACGTAACCACAATTAAAGCATCTAATCCTTAGTTATTAACCCTTGATAAACTATTTATAAATGGAACCTTCCTATACAGTGTCACCCAGGCAATAATGGCTCTTGGGCAGGTTTTTGCCCCACTACCATTCTGTTGGCACTGCTGGCACCCAGCTTGGGACCGATGTTCCCTCTAATTTTTGACAGGCCGTGTGCACAAAAAATTTCTTCTGTGCAAACGTCTGTGCGTGCGGTGTTTCGCCGTGTGCGCAGGGTTTAGGATCTGTGTGTGAGCGCACCCGCGCGTGGCTTCGAGGGAACAGTGCTTGGGACTGCATCAGCCAGGCACTGAATCTGCAGTGCAAGTCCCCTGGCGGAACCCCAGCCCCTGGGACCCTGCTTGGGAATGACCTGCCTGCAGGAATGACTCCTGGGAGGGAGGTGGCCGTTAACGCCTGGCTCTGCTGTGTGACAGGCTCCACCGCTGGGAGCGAGCACCTTCCCTCCGCCTTATTCTGGGGATGCTGCTTTGCCCATGGGATTGAGGCCTCCAGCAAGCAGTGTCTTTGTTCAGCCTGTCGGATGGGTCCCCTCTCGCTCCCCCTCACCCCGATTTCTCCATTGTATCACATCTCATTAGAGATCAATCTCATTCTCAACTGGGCCATCTCCTTTGTGCTACCAGGATTGTACCAGGTCCAGAAGGGTTAATAAACTCCCTGTCCCCACCATAGGGCATCAGCAAGGTTTGAACCCAGGACTTCAGCACATGCCTCTGTCTTCTGAGCTACAGGAGTAACTCCATCAGCAACTAGGAGTAGTAGGCTGTTATACTACAATGGATGAGCTGCAAAAGGCCTCAGCCAAGACTGGGCAACCCTCGTGCTGATGCTGCACAGACACAGTGAGAGACAGGCCCTGCCCCAAACTGCTGACAGTCTAAACAGACAAAGGGTGTGAGGTCTGAGGCACAAGGACATTAAGGACCGTGGCCAAGGTCACACAGGGAGTCTGTGGCATAGCTGGGAAATGGACCCAGACTTCTGTAATCGCAGCCTGCTGCCTGCAGCCCAAGCCCAGCCACCTTCTTCACGCCCCTAATGCAGATGCACTCCAATCACTTTAAATCTGGTTCATATCCCTTTAGCGCCATTCAGTGACATTTAATATCGATTTAGTTAAACGGGTGCAATTTCCTAGGATAGCCAAGGCCAGCCGGAGAGCAAGGGAGCATGATGCAGAGAGACTTGGAGTCAGAGAGTCCCAGACGAGCGGTGGAGAGAGCATGAATCACCTTGTTTTCTTCCCCAATAACAAGGAAGCTTTATTTCCTCTCTCTGGAAATTTGAGGTGCATTTGCAGGGGTGGATTCGTTCTTCCAAACACCCCCACCCCCACCCCCCAGCATCCATTAAGGAGCTGAATCGCTGACAATGGACACAAGCTTTTCCTAAGGTTGGGTCCATTTGTCTCCGGCCACCTCTCTAAGGGCTGTCTGGCCGTGTGACAGATGGACACCCTCCATGAACGTTTAGCCGTCACCTTCCCCCAGTGCTGCAGGCCATCCTAGGGCAGACAGCTCCCAACACGCGTGTTCGTGTCCTCATGTGACATGGAGAAGCGGCAGCTTTCTCATTTCCAAGCAACCCGGGAGGTCGAGATGGAAAAGCCCAGTCGGACCATCCAGCCCTTCTCCCAGCCAGTGTGTGAAACTCACACCCTGGAACGTTAGCAGAAGAGTTTTGTATTTTTGGTTCCCTGGTTGGTTTGCGGTTTGGTGCAGCGGGTCAGGGCAGAGGGTGGTGTGCTGGCTGGAGGAAGGGTGTGTGTCCTCCAAAGCCACCACTAGCCTTTGTGTCTGTGTGCAGAGGATGAGAGTGGGGCCGTGGTTGTCCAGACGGCGCCTGGGAAGGTGGTCACCCACCGGGGCGGGACCATCATCCTTCCCTGCCGGTACCACTATGACATGTCAGCCCACGACCCAGCCGAGATCCGCCTCAAGTGGACCAAAGTGATGGACCCGATGTCTTTTGTGGACGTCTTCGTGGCCATGGGGAAGGAGCGCAGGGCTTTTGGGAGCTACCGGGGGCGCACGGCCCTGCAGGAGGATGGGACAGGGGACGCCTCCCTCATCATCCGCAACGTCACCCTGCAGGATTACGGGCAGTATGAGTGCGAGGTTACCAATGAGCTGGAGGACGACACGGGCATGGTGAAGCTGGATCTGGAAGGTAAAGGGAATCCCGGAGACACTAGCAGGGCTGCATTCTCCGGGGGCCTGCGAGCCCCAGGCTGCATTGCACACCCAGTTTTGTGTGCGCCGTTTTGCACGCACACATGGCCTGACCACCCAGCGTGTGCTCATAAATCCTGTTCGCCAAAGCTCTGAACTGCCGCGCCCGGCTACCGTATGGAGACAAAACGACCGTGCTCACCCATCTAGGCAACGTCTACACTACCACTCACGCTGGCGAAACGTATGTAGCAGTGCAGCTGTGGGCTTGCTAGCGTAGGCATGGCCTGAGAGTCTGGTTTTGCAAATTTTACTCCCGCTGACAGCGCCGTGTACACCGGCGCTAAGGTGGGTGTAATTTAGGTCGCTCAGGGGTGTGGATTATGCACACTCCCGAATGAGGTAAATTATACTGGAGTAACCTGGAGTGTCGACAAGGTCCCGGTGTGGCGTCCATGCAATCAGAACCCTGAGTGGCGGCACATGTCCAAGCGAGGTCATTAGCATACACCTTGTGTCTGAGGTTCTCAAACCATTGTTGCAAACAATCGCTTAGCCTGGGGAGGGAGGAGTCACCCTCTCTTTGCAGCCAGCCAGCCGGAGAGATACGTGACTTGGCCAAGGTCAGAGAGAATGACACAGCCAGGAATAGAACCCAGGAGTCCTGACTGCCCCGTCCTGTGCTCTAACCACTAGATTTCACTGCCCCCAGGCGGCCAGACTCCCTTCTGCCCTGCTGTAATCACTGCCACACTTGGTTTGCTTTCCTCAGAGCTCATCCACGTCGCTTCAGGCTGGCTAATGCTGGATCGGCGGGAGGGTGATGTGAATGAGCGTGGGAGGACAGCACGACCTGGAGCATGCCTCTCTATCACCTCGCTCTGCAGCCTGGCAGAACCCGGGCCCTGGCTCCGGGCAAGGTGGCGGAGGAGCCGATGCCTGGGGTGGCAGGGCTGAGAGATGCATCCGTCACTCCGAGCTGCGGCGCCACTCACCTTGTCCTACTTTCTTTTCAAAAGCAAGCATGACGTGCCCGTGCCGGAGAAAACCCAGCAGCTGCCAGGGCAGATAAGTCCCATCACCCACGCCGTGCCTGCCACGCGGACAGCAGCCCCACGGCTGGCGTCGGCTGGTATTAGGCTCAAGCTTTGGGTGAAAGTTCAGGCGGTTCCTATTTTACACAGGGGGGCAGGTCTCCCCGGGGTTAGAGCAGGGTGCGGGGACAGATGGGCACTGGGAGGAGAACGTGGTCATGTGACTAGAGCAGAGGACAGGGAGCCAGGCCGCCTGGGTCCTAGATCCAGCTCTGGGAGGGGAGTGGGGGCTAGTGGTGAGAGGAGAGGGGCGGGGTGACAAGGAGTCTTAAGTTCTCTTCCTGATTCTGCAAGGAGGTGTGGGCTGGAGGTCGGCTCACAGGATCAGGAGGCAGGAGGCCAGGCTTCCCCTGCCAGCCCCGGAACAGACCATTGGTCCCTCTAGCCTGGTATCCCTCCTCCAGCAGCGGCCAATAACTGATGCTTCGGGGGGGGACACACCCGTAATACACTTGAGAAATTGTAAAGTAATGTCCTTGAGGAGGTGGGGGGAGAAATCCCTTCCTGACCCCTTCAGTGCACAGCTAGGGCCCTGAAGCCTGAGAGCCAACAGCCCTTCGCCCACCCCCCGCGCAGCTCCCCATTTGGCGATTGCTGTAGGACCCCCCCAGCCAGCGCCTTGCTCTGCTTGCGTGTCCCTGTAGGAGTGATCTTCCCATACCACCCGCGCCTTGGCCGCTACACCCTCAACTTCCAGGAGGCCCAGGAGGCGTGTCTGGCCCAGGACGGCATCCTGGCCTCCTACGACCAGCTGCACAAGGCCTGGGTGGAGGGCATGGACTGGTGCAACGCCGGCTGGCTGGAGGATGGCTCCGTGCAGTACCCCATCTCCAGGCCCCGAGACGAGTGCGGCCGCAAAGACACCCCAGTCGGGGTCAGAAGCTACGGGTACCGGCACAAGGAGGACGAGCGCTACGACGCCTTCTGCTTCACGTCCAACCTGAACGGTAACAGCCCCCTTCCCTCTGTGGGGCAGGGCCAAGGGGGCAGGTGCTGAGAGACGCGGGGCAGCTGCACGCTGAATGCTCAGCTAGAACGTAATACTTAGTGCACGTTGGGTTTAGCAGAGCGGGTCACGGTCATTATCCTCGCTTTACAAAGGGGGAAACTGAGGCACGTCATGTGGGGCGGGGGGGAAGGGAGTGACCTGCACAGGGTCACACAGGCAGCTGTGGGAGAGCCAACTCCCCAGCCTAGTGCTTTGCCTAACAAGCCGTGCTCCTTGATGCTGTATTTTCTTACCCCCCCCTGCCCCACAGCTTCAACTCAGGTGCCCCATTCTACTAGGGGCTCATCCTGCCGCGTCTCAGTGCCATACAGCTGGGCACTAAGCTGTGTGACTCACATCTGTCACATGGGATTTGGTGTCTCTCCCCTCCCCAACGGGGGGATTGTGCACACCAGGGAGGGCTTTGGGATCTCTAGAGGTCTGCACTGCTGTGTTTGTGTTGGAGAAAGCAGGGCAGAGCACCACCTGGAGTGGTGGGCTGGTTTGGGATGGCCCCTTGTTCCTGCGGGAGTTCATCCTGCTGCTTGGGAGTGGCCCCTGAGGAAGTTCTGGCCCCTGCCCAGACGAGTGTTACCCTTGTGGCAGAGAGTTCCACAGGGCCTGATGAATGGAGCTGCCAGCCACTGTCCCCTTCCTGGAGCTTGAGGCTCTTTTCTTCCCTTGCTGAGAAGGCCTGAGCCCTTGAACATGACTCCTCTGTGGGCTACGGTCGCTCAGCACTACTTTCTAAGCGGATCCCCCTCCCTGCCTGGGATTGGGAGGCTCCCCTCCCTGCTGGTGCGTGCCCCGTGGGTCCCCTGGGGGCACGGGGCTGGTGGAGCTGCAGGGAGGTCTCATCAATGGGCCGCTGTCGCCTCGCAGCACGGGCATGCTGATCCTGCTCTGGGGAGAGCAGAAATCCTCCTTTAGGCCATGCGTCTCTCCCTGCCAGCCCCCCCGCCCCACCAAATCCCAGCCCCCCAGAGCAGCGGCTGTTCTCTGTCCCACCCAGGCACTGAAGGAGCAGGCTGCATTCCCAGATCACAGGAGGCTGAATGGGGAAGAGAACGGCCCATCCCGGACCCTGGGCAATAGCCCTGGCCTCAGTGGGTTTTGGCCCTTTAATTTTATTTATTCCTAGCCTAGCCTTGCCTTGCCTTGGCATCATCCCCTCCTTCTCCTCCCCCGTACTCCAATCCAGCAGGTTTCAACCTTGTTTCATTTGCAGACCCCTAAAACGTTTCAAATGCTGGTGCGGACCCCTTTGGAAATCTCAGACACAGTCTGAAGACCCCCAATCCACAGGCTGAAAGCCAGTGGCCCAGCCCATCACCCAAAGACTCCAACAGCCTGAAATGCTAGGGAAAGGGGTGGAGGGCTGAGGCCCCAGGGAATTTAAACACTCTGTACCTGGCTGCAGCCCCCGGAGCTCAGGTGCGGCTGGTGGCGTCCTCCCTCCCTATTAGCCCAGGGTGATTGGCTGCTGAACATGCCTGGTTCATTGCCTTGGGATTACTGGGAGTTAATTAGGCACTAAAGCAGGTGAGTGAGCAGCACACTGGGTGGTTACAGCTCTCCTGGGCCTATTATGCCTTTAATAGTCACGGCCACTGCTGCGGGGTGGAAGTGGAGGGCACGGATTAAAAGAAGGGGTGGGAGGAACGCCAGCACCCCCCAAGCGTGGGTCAGCCTATGCTGCCTCTGAGCCCCTGTGCTGCCCCGGTCCCGGCGCACAGACTGTGGGATCGGGCCTAGATCCTCAAAGCAGAATTGAACCTACCCACTGGACTACGCTGCCTCCCTGGGCAGTGGCGTGGGGATGGGCTCAGAACTGAGGCAGCTCATCACCTGAATGGTGCAGCCCTCTGCACTCTACCCCCGTCCCCTGCTGTGGATCAGTGTCACAGGATGGCTTTTAAGCACCCAAAGGCTTCCCAGGGCTCCTTCCTGCCCCGCCCCCCAGCCATTGATCTGGGCCCCTCAGCTGCTGGGGTCTCGCCCTGCCTGCCCTCGGTGCTGCGTCCTGTGGAAGTCAGTGAGTTCACTCAGCTCTCCCTGGGGCAGGGGGGACGGGACAGGAGAGGGGTTGCTGTCAGGGCAGCCCCATGGCTCCCCCTGCCCCTCAGCCTTGAGTCTCAGCCCCCCCCTCCCCTTCCTGGCCCCAGGAAGCACCAGCTATTATTGCTAAAGGGATTGTTTGTATCCACCCCCTGCCACCTAAGGGAGGAGGGAACTGCAAAGGGGTCCCTGCTGATATGAGCTAGGCAGTGCTCAGCCTCTGGGCAGGGTGCTTTGGAGAGAAGAGACCCTTCCACCACCCCCCTCCCCCCCAGCTCTCTGTAGCAATGACAGAAGGAGCCCAGGGGTCTCCAGTGGGACCAGGGGATGTAAACACGGTGTTGGTGGGAGGTGCCCCGAGTCCCAAATCCTCTCTGTACCCACACGAGAGGGCGGGATGCCACGGCAAAAGCCTCTCCCCTCCCCACGCCCCCGTCTCGCCTTTGGGGGTTCCGTCCCCATGGCCTGCTCAGCCCTCGGCATCTCCGCTCAGCTTGCCAATGAGGGGGCCCAACTGCCGGGGAGCCCCAGCGGGAAGTGGCTGAGACCCTCCCAACTCGTTCCCCTCTATTCAACATTGGTGAGGCCTCATCTGGAGTACTGTGTCCAGTTTTGGGCCCCACACTACAAGAAGGATGTGGAAAAATTGGAGAGAGTCCAGCGGAGGGCAACAAAAATGATTAGGGGACTGGAACACATGAGTTATGAGGAGAGGCTGAGGGGACTGGGATTGTTTAGTCCGCAGAAGAGAAGAATGAGGGGGGATTTGATAGCTGCCTTCAACTACCTGAAAGGGGGTTCCAAAGAGGATGGCTCCAGACTGTTCTCAATGGTAGCAGATGACAGAACGAGGAGTAATGGTCTCAAGTTGCAGTGGGGGAGGTTTAGGTTGGATATTAGGAAAAACTTTTTCACTATGAGGGTGGTGAAGCACTGGAATGCGTTACCTAGGGAGGTTTCAGAGGAACAGCCGTGTTAGTCTGTATTCGCAAAAAGAAAAGGAGTACTTGTGGCACCTTAGAGACTAACCAATTTATTTGAGCATGAGCTTTCGTGAGCTACAGCTCACTTCAGATGTTCACCGGGATGTTCCAGTAAACACTGATGAAGTGGAGCTCACGAAAGCTCATGCTCAAATAAATTGGTTAGTCTCTAAGGTGCCACAAGTACTCCCTTTTTACCTAGGGAGGTGGTAGAATCTCCTTCCTTAGAGGTTTTTAAGGTCAGGCTTGACAAAGCCCTGGCTGGGATGATTTAATTGGGGATTGGTCCTGCTTTGAGCAGGGGGTGGGACTAGATGACCTTCTGGGGTCCCTTCCAACCCTGATATTCTAGGATTCTATGAACTCATCTCACAGCTGGAGCTGGAGCATGGCGCTCCGCCTGCCGTCCCCAGCCCCGGCCTTCTCTCTCTCTCTCTCTTAAAGGTGATGGGGGTTTTAAGCTGTCGGCCCCCTTCTCCACACAGAGGAAGGAATCCCAGCTGGGATTTGGGGCTGGGCTAACAGCAGGAGGGAGCGAACCCGAGGGCTCTCGCTTCCAGCAGCTCTGGTGCTGCTAAGTGGCGAAGAGGGAGGCATCTCTTGGTGTCTTTTAACGATGGCTTTTATTGCCAGGACAGCTTGACGGCTGCCACATAAATCTCCTCCCTTAGCGCTGGTTTATTTCGCCGTCGTGGTGTGTGGCTGCTGGGCGCAATGGCAGCCCCCCCCCCCCCCCGGCAAAGCGCTCGGGCTCTGAAAAGCCCAGCCTCCATCGGGGGCTTCCTGACGGGCCAGAGCTGGGGACCAGGGGGCTCTTTCGCTGGCCTGTGTGCGGTGAGTTTGATGAGCCTCAGCCAAGCTCCTCATGCAGGGGAGTCCACCCCACTACAGCCAGTGGTCTCGGGGTGGGGGGTGCCTCCCTGCTCGAGCCCACGCTGTATCCACCCCCCTTCATCAGGAATTGAACCCCCGGCCCCTGCCCCTCCAAGGCACTGAGGGACAAGAGCGGCTGCCCCCCCCCTTTTGCAAAGCCACCCCCAGCCCTCACAAATCCCAGAAGGACTCAATGCAGACAGAGCCGCCCCACACCTTGGGGGGGAACCTCTCCCCCAGGGCAACAGCGGGAGAAGCACCAGCATGTCCACCATTGTCTGACTCTTCAGAGCGGCTCGGGGCGCCGTGGTGGCACAGATGCAGGTGCCGTTTACACTAGCTCCCGCTGTCAGCAGCACTGGCTTTAGTGCAAAGAGGCGAGGTTTCCGCGATGGACAAGGTCCTTTGTGCTGTAATTCCTGCCTCCCCAGGGACAGAAACAGGGGAAGGAGAAGCAGGTAATTACAACGGAGAGAGGCACGGATGATGGATGAAGCCAGGGCTACACAAGACAAATCTGAGCTAGAGGGGCTGTCCCTGTGCATAAATTACAGTACTCTTTGGCTGGCAGGGCTGGGGGCGGGGGGGAAGGGAGGTGGAGTGCGGGAGAGGGGCCTCTGCGGATGTTTATTTAATCATGGCAGGCGGGATAAATAGCGGATGTAATAGCTACAGGGACTCATCACCGGACGCAGCGCTGCATCCCCCATCAATCTCGATGTGTCTAGGAATTAATTTCCAGGAGCTGCCTTTATTCCTCTGCAGCCAGGCTGGCTCAGCGTTCCCCTGTTCGCTCCCCACCTTTGGCTGATGAAGGCCTAGCCCTGCCTGTGTGCCCTCCCATCCGGCTGGGACTGATAGGGCTCCTTTGCCAGTTTGCCCGTGGGCGGAAGGATCGGGAGAGGCAGTGTGGCATGGCTGGATCCCAAAGCCGGGGCGGGGAGCCAAGCTGCACCAGTGTCCTGTAGGGCAGAGAGGGGACCAGGCTCGGGTGCCGTGGCTGAAAAGGGGATTCTTTCTCAAGGCTGCTGGACACAGATCCACCCTGGGGTCCTCTCGGACTCCTCGGCTCCCTTGTGCTCCCAAGTGTCTACAGCTCATGGACCCAGGGGGCGTGGGAGAGATCCTAATTCAACATCCCAGTGGGGCTGGAGCTCTGTCCTGGCCTCAGCTGCCGCGGCCCCCAGCACAGGGGATGTTGGCAATGAAGCCACAGATCCTGCTCCCTCCCGGTCTCTGAGACCCATGGCTAACGGGGGCTAGTCACTGCCTTGACATGACCCAGCACGGCACCGTTCCTTGCTTTCTTTCTTCCAACAGATGCTAGACAGGGCCATTCAAGCCCCTCGAGAGGCTGTGTCCCCCTGCTAGGTCTGAGACCTGCCCTGGCATCTTTGGTCATGGAGAGGCCGATCCTGGAGCTAGACGTGTAACTAGTCCCTCCTGGCTGCGCTCACGCTTCATGCCATGGTGACAATGACAGGGTCCCATGGCAGGGACCCCTCCCACCAGTTACAGGCATGATCCACAGAGGTGCCAAGCACCCATGGTTCCCTCAGAAGCCAATGGGAGCTGTGGGTACCAGGCCTTATGGGCTTAAGTCCTGCCCACTGTACGTGGTTGATGCCCCGGGCCCGGCATGGCTAGTCTCGGGCCTAGTGCCCTGCACCTCTTGGCGGGGGAGAGGCGGGAGGGAGCTCCATCCCTTTAACCCAGCTCCTTCTCTTCCCCCTCCAGGCAAAGTTTACTTCCTAAAGACCTACCGCAAGCTGAGCTACCCTGAGGCCCTCCAGGCCTGCAAGAAGAACGGCGCCAGGGTGGCCAAGGTGGGCCAGCTCTACGCTGCCTGGAAGATCCAGCTGCTGGACAAGTGTGAGGCGGGCTGGGTGGAGGATGGCAGTATCCGCTACCCCATCGTCAACCCCCGGGCACGCTGTGGGGGCCGGGAGCCCGGCGTCCGCAACTTGGGCTTCCCGGACAAAAAGTACAAGCTCTTCGGGGTCTACTGCTACAAGAAGGCCAGCGAAGGGCCCCCCAAGGACGGCAGGGAGGAGCCGGGCAAGTGGAGGCCTCTCCAGGTATAAGAGGCAGCCATGGCCGCTCTGCTGGGGACAGAACCGCTCTTGCAACCATCAGACGAACGCCGCAGCTGGAGAGCTGCTACCATAGTAATTCCCCCCCGCCCCCCCATCCCTTCTCACCTGGAGCCGGCTGTGAGCCAGGACTGTGGTACTGGCCACCGAGCCCCAGGGACCGGGCATTTCTTGGTAACAGCATCACAGGAAACAGAAGGGAACACGCCCCCCCCCTTATCCCTTTCCATAGCAGGTGGGGACGGTCCCACGGCATGGCAGGCTGGGGAGGGGCTCTGTGGTAGAGAAGGGAAGAGGGCTGGAGGGGGGACCATGCCAGCTTCAGTTCACTTGCTTTCTCCTGCAAACGGACATCCAGCCCCTGCACTCGTAGGGGCCGCTCCTGCCATGCTCTGGTGCAGCCGCTGCCCCCCCTCGCTAACCCAACCTCCGGATTCCTTCTTGGCTTCACGCTGCTGTGGCTAGCGCTGGGAATCTAGTTTTTGGCCTTTCTCTGCTTGCGGAGGGGGCAGGGCCGGGCTGCCGCCCCTGCAGCTTTCCCAGGATCCCCCAGGCCAATGCCACGCTCCTGTCTGGGGCTGGGGGCTGTTCAGATGTGGTGCACACCCGCAGCGCTAGGGTGGGTCCTGCTGAACTGGACAGGCCTTGGGCCCTGCTCCTCCCATGACTGTGGAGGATGGAAACTCAGAGGGGGCGTAAATGGGAGTGTAGCTCTCGCCCCACGCATGGGGGGCGGATGCTCAGAAGATTAATGCCCTGGTTGGGGAGTGGGTGGATGGTGCAAAGTGTCCGTGTGGGATGGCACCGCCCTGTGCAGTTTACGGCCCACGAGCTCCCTGTCAGTGCTTCAGCTAACGGCACCGGAGCAAAATCAACAGCGTCCCCCTGCCCGCAGCGCTGTGAAGAGAAGCAAGCGTGAGGGTGTCGGAAGAGACCAGCTGCTCCCCTTGCTCCCCGGGATCTGCGCAGCTCGGCACGGGTCCTGCTGACAAAGCTCCCTAAGGGACCAGACGGCGCATACTCAGCACTAGGTTCAATTCAAAGCCCTTGAAACACCCATGGAAAGGCCTATGCTCCCTGAATGTACCCAGCACAGGAGGGACAGGAAAGCAGGCACGTTGAGAGCTGGACTCACTAGCGTAAGCTTTTCTAGAGCAAAAACCCTTTGAGGTACATGTAAAACATCTGGCTGAATAATCCCATCTGTGGAGTTTAGTTTAACATTGTAACATAGCCATGCGGGAACTATGCCATGGTCAAGCAGCTGATCTAACTTTACAGGGACAGAACTCTGACCCTCCCCCTTCGAAAACACACTTTGAGCTGAAGGAGAATCCCCTTAGCGCTATACAGTACAGGGCATATGGTACTCAGTGGTACAGCTCAGATTCCATCTGTGGGCGGTCGTTGTGCTCCACCCACACCAGCCTGTTCATTACGATAGGTGGGGTGAATCACCTTGCCACTGAGCACATGAAGCTAGGCACTATAGGAAGGCAGGAATCTGGCAAATCGGGCGTGGTTAAGCTCAAACAGGCACTGACCACTGCAGTAGGAAATTGGTGTGTGGGTGCTTTGCCGTGAGCTGCAGTGTCCAGGGCTCGCCCAGGGCTGATGCTTGCTGCTGTCCCTTAAACAATCAAAGCGCAGGTGGGGTTTTCCCCCATCCCGGGCAAAGAAAAAAGTGACTGGATTTTTCAGTCTCCACAGTGCTGTCCTAAGAGATCCCCAGCCAGGGGCCCCCGTGATAGTCCCCTGAGAAAGGGGAGCTACTCTGTGGAGTCGGGGCGACCGATGGGGATTAATACAGCATCGTGATATAGGGCCCGATCCTGCCAGGCACTGAGTGCCCTCAGCCGCCACTGAAATCAGCACCACGCAGGATGGGGTCGGCGTGGGAGAGAAATCTAGTGAGGGGGGAGGAGCCAGGGAAAGGGGGCAGGGATTTGGCTTCCCCGTGCCCTGCAGATGCGCATTGCCTCCCAGGCCAGGGCAAGTGCAGGGGGTCGGCCGTGGTCACCCCGGTGGCTCGCAGTGTGTTTCCCTGCTCGAGGCACAGAGCCCGTCCTGCTGGCTGGGGCTATCTCCCCGCCCCCGATGCATGCAGTCCCTGTGCCGCCTCCCGCTCTCGCTACAACGCTGCGTCGCTCAGAGACGCCGTGCTTGCCTTCGTTTTCAGCTGCATGCATGGCCGGGCGAGGGACACCACCCGCGACAGGGGAGGGAGCTCCGGGTCCCTCTGCTCTGAGTTGAGCAGCAGAACTGATCAGGGTCTCCGTTCCCGCGACTTAGGGCCAGACGGCAACTGGGACGGGCCTGCAGGAGGCTCTCAGAGCCAGAGGTCACAAATAGGCTCCCCAGATCCACTGGGGCTTCCCTTCTGGCCAGTGGGGGGTCGGTTGTGGTCGGGGAGCTAATGAAATAAAGGCTTGGCTGTTGAGTGAGAATGAACTGTGGACTCACGTCTCTGTACCTGGCTCTCCGGCTCCTGGGTCTCTCAGGCAGGGCCTGGCTCCAGTCGAACTTCCTGGCTAATAGGAACAAGGCACATTGATGTGCAAGGTGCTGCACGATGCGCAGGAGAAACAAACATGCCGCGGCTCTGGGGTGCAGCGCAGAATCTGTTTAATGGTGCGGGGGGGGGGGTTTGAGAGCCAGTTCAAGCTGCGGTGGGAAAGAGGGAGGGAGGTGGGGCCCGCGCTCCTGCTCCTCTGGGATCGCTCGGGAACACAAGGTGGAGGGGCTCTGAGAGGGGGCTGCATTAGCAGCACCGTGCCCCCCAGAGCATGTGGGTCAGCGCCCACTTGAGGGGGGGCAAGCTCAACCCAGATCAGTCACTCACCCTGGAGCTCTCCCCCAGCCCAGCCCCTGCCTGGCTGAGCACGGCCCCAGCCGGAGGTGGCTGGTGGCAGGATGGGTGTGTCCCCAAGTTGGGCCTGCTCAGTGCAGGACCGGGAGCTCCTCTCCCACTTTGCAGCCTGGGGGCCTGTCAGGCAGCATTCGGTGAGCAACCAGCTTTGTTTAAACTTCGGGCAACCGGGGATTCCCCGGGGCCAGCCACCCTGCTGGGGGAACCTGCAGCCAAACCAGCGCCGCTCCCTCTCCACGGCCCTGCCTCTGCTCTCGCGTCTCTGGGAGCTCCGCCAGTGCCGGGAAGGCCGGGAGTGGGCCTGGCATCGCTGCCCTCTGCCGCAGAACCCGCGTGTCACCAGCGCAGCCGGGAGAGCGCCAAATGCAAGCGAGGCGGGGAGCTAATTTGCATGATTGCAGATAATTTGCATACTTGGCCTGGTGGGGGGTTGCTTTGCGAGTTTGCTCCCACTGCATAGGGTGTGCTGGGGAGTCCACAAGCCAGTGCAGCATTTCGGGGGCTCCCTAGGAGTGTGGTGCCCCCACGGTGGCTTATTTGCATAATTTATGCTGCAGGAAATGCCCTGACAGCTGAGCCATTGATGACAAGCCGGGACTGCTGGGCCGGGCTGCATGGGGGGTGCCTGCTCTCAGCAAAATTCACATGGGCTGATCCAGTTACACTGCTCACCAACGGGGTGGGGGGCCTCTGAGCCAAGACAGCTCAGGGGGCTGAGAGGGGGTGAGCGCACCCCAGCCCCTTGGCTCTCCAGGCGCCCTCCCCTCCCCCGCCATGGAGGCTGAACCATGACCCCTCAATCAGGATGGGGAATTGGGGTTCTGGTTTGCTGCATTATAGAGATATGGGTCTGACCCCAAGCTCTGATCTGGACCCAGCCTAGTCCAGGAGGGAGGTTCAGGCCCACAGCGAGAAGATCCCAACTGCCAGCAAGTGTGGCAGGGTCCGCTCCCCTCCTCTGGTCTGGTCCTGGTGCGCCAGATCCAGTCTCTGGCCCTGGTGGGCTCTGGAGCATAGAGGGCTGGCTGTCAGGAGTGATTCTCCCCACTCCCTCTGCAACAGGCAGCTGCCGAGATAGCTGGGCATGTCAGGCTGATAGCACCTGCCGGCACCTCTGAGGGCCTATTTGCAGCCGCGAGGTGGCCTCTGGAAAACGCAGACTTTGCCTGAGTGTGCTGAGCACGGCTCCCGGTGAGTGGCTTCCCAGCCCGCCCGACGTTCCCAGGGCTTTGCCAAAGGGTAGCGGGGCTAAGCAGATATCGTACATGCCATCAGTAGCAGTGTCAGGATCTGGCTGGGCAGGGATCAAGCTTCCACATGCTGCTCCTGGCTGCAGCCCTGGGCGCTAACCCCCACAGGGGCACCCAGGGCTGCGAAGGGGCGTCGAGCAGCTTCGCGAAAGGTTCGTGTCCCTCCCATTGTGAGTGTCTGTGAGCGTGTGCACGTGTGACCTGCTGAGCTGTCAGGCGAGCCCCAGAGCTGCCGCAGGAATTGCTCTGCCAGGATGACTTGCAGATGGTGGAAGATACCCGATGGGCAGCCCCACTGGCTGATGCCACAGGATGGGGATAGCCAGAGTGCAGATTCCACCCACTCCCCATGCCCCATCCCAGCAGGGGGGGCAGTGAGTTGCAGACGGCCTGGGTCTCAGTGCGGGGGGCACCTGGCCATGTGGAAAGGGACCAGGACCCATCAGACAGCTGCAACGGCGGGTCACCATCCCGGGCTGGGTTGGAACCAGCCACCGAGAGGCGAAAAGCCCCGCAGCCCTTTCCACCCCCTCTGGGTCAGGTCCTGCTTCTTGATTTTGCCTTTGCCCTGTTATTGCAGTTGCCCCGAGAAGCTTGAGCTGCATTCAGGGCCCCGTTGGGCCGGCGCTGTACAAACACAGGGTGGGAGTCCAGCTCTCCTGAGGCCCAGCCCAGTGGCCTAACCACAAGCCCCCACTTTCTGCCCTCCTGGCCAGCCGGCCCTTGATCCACCAGGGACGAGGTGGCCACGTCTTGTTGGGTAAAACCAGCCTCCCAGCTGGAATCGGAGCTGCCCTTTAGCAGAGCGCTAACTCTGACGGAGAATGGCCAAAGCGCTTGTTTTCCACCTAGTGACGTTGCTCAATAACTGGCCTAATTCTCTGGAGTTTGGGAGCGAGGTGCCCCCCACCCCGCTCTTCCTTTCTTCTTCCCCCCAGCTCTCTGCTGCTGTGCGAGAAGAGGTGCTGAATGCTGGCGCCCGGCGGCTCTGGTTGGGGCTGGCGAAGCAGGCAGGCCTGGATTCGGGTGGCATTTTATCTCCTGCCAGGGGGGCTCAAGCACGTTTCATTCATCATGTTTATTGACTCCAAACGCTGGTGGAAATAAATAGCTGCCGGAATTTGAAGCACTGGCAAGCTGGCCCCGGCTCTGCTCACAGCAGCTCTGCCATGGCGAAGGGGCGGGGGACCGGAGCTCTGCTGTGCTGGGTCTGGATTTCGCTGTTCGAAAGGGGATGTGAACCGACGACAGCGAGGGGACGGCCACAGGGCCCTGTAGCAGGACGGATCAAGCGCACGAAGGGGGCTAAAACAAGGCGCCTCATTTTGCAAAGCGAAGAGAGAGGCTCCCCCTGCCCTGCTCCCCCATAGCTCCCTCCCCTCTGGAGCAATGTCCAGGGGGTGGAGGGGAGGAACTGGCAACATGCCTCCGGGAAGGGGGGGCTTTGAGAGGCAGCGCGGGCCGGTCCCACAGCCTCATGCCAGGCGCTGTCCCAGCTCCACGCTGCTCGGTGCGGGTAGATCTATCTAGTCATCACAGCTGCTGGGTGACCGGGCGTTAGCCGCGATGGTGCCGGAGAAGGGAGCAGAGCCAGGAGGAGCCAGGACTAGGGCTATTCCACTGGGGACTAAGGTCAGCAGAGACGGGCGCTGGGGAAAACCCAGCTTAGCAACGTCGGGCCTCCATGCTGGGGATTTGTGCCATGGCTTGTTGAACGATGTGACGAAGTGGGACTGTTCTTAATGTTTCCTCTGAATAGTGTGGGGGTGCCTCAGTTTCCCCTAGGCAGTTCTTAAGTATCTAGGGGGTGGGGTAAGGGTGTATGATCATTGCAGAGCCCTAGAGGGCAGGTGTGTGCAGGGGTCTGGACACAGAGAATGGCCGACACCCTGTTTCCTGGCAACTGATGGTCTGGGCCCTTCCCCGCTGCAAGGTGAGAGCTAAAGGGTTGGAGAACAAAGGAATCAGGTGACCTCCTGACCCGGGAAAGGGACAAAGCCCAGAGGAGGAGGGGCTGGAGAGGGTTTTTCAGTTTGGGGCTGGCTGGGACATGGAGTGAAGTGCAGACGTGGTTGTCTGGCTCACTGTCCCCCAAAATGGACCCAGCTGAGGGGTCCCGTTCTCTGCACCTGCAAGCTCTGTTTTAGACCATGTTCCTGTCATCTAATAAACCTCCTGTTTTACTGGCTGGCTGAGAGTCACGTCTGACTGCGAAGTTGGGGTGCAGGACCCTCTGGCTTCCCCAGGAGCCCCGCCTGAGCGGACTCGCTGTGGGAAGCGCACGGAGGGGCAGAGGATGCTGAATGCTCCGAGGTCAGACCCAGGAAGGTGGAAGCTGAGTGAGCTGCGTGTCCTGAAGACAGGCTGCTCACAGAAAGGCGACTGCCCCAGAGTCCTGACTGGCTTCATGGGGAGCAGTTCCAGAGCATCGCCCAGGGACTCCGTGACAACTGGTGGCAGTGGTGGGATGTACTGCACCCCGTGGATGGCGCTTCCTGCAGTAAGTGACTGGGGAGCAGTAACAGGAAGGGGGATTGCCGAGGACCAGGCCTGCTGAAGGCTCAGAGAGGAGCGGTTTCGGGGGGCGGTTAACCCCTGGGAGTGTGTGACCAGCGAGAAGGACTGTGCAGTAACAGGGTTCCCCTGGGGATTGCAGCGAGCAGTCCAAGGGGCGGAGGAGTCTGCAGCTCGACCCTGGCAAAGAGGTGGTGACCTCGAGAAGGGCTGGCACACTAGGGGTTCTCCCTGGAAACCGTGGGGAGCTGAGAACACACGGGCCTGTGAGTCCACAACAACTTGGGAGGAGCGGAGTGATGGCCTGTCACCGTCTCCTTAAGAAGGACATTGTAACCCTGTGCAGAAAGAGAGGGTTGAGCATTGGAAAGTTCACCAAAGCAGAGTTAATCGTGCAGCTGGAGGAGGATGACCGCTCTAAGGAACAGATTCCTGACCCCAACCGGGGCTATAGCAGGATCTGGGAGCAGCTGGAGCGGGAGCCAGGCATCGCCAAGACTCCTGTCCCCGACCAGACGAGGGTCTTCACGATCGGGTTCCCCATCGGGGGATCGAGACGGACGGGATTGGAGCTGAGCCTGAGAGAGCAAGAGGACCGTGGGAGACAGCGAGAGCCCGAGAAAGAGCTGCAGAAGCAGCAGCAGCATGAACTGGCGGTGGGGGAGCGGAGAGGCCGAGGGGACCTCCCAGGGGTGAGTGGGGATAGACCCCGGGGGGCCAGTTCCGCAGGGAACCTCGAGACTAAATTGCTGCCCCTGGTTAAGGAGGGGGGGTATGGATGCCCACCTCACTGCCTTTGAGCAGGCTGGCGATTTGAACCAAGGGGACCCTGCGGAAAAGCCCCGGTGTCTAGCTCCCTTGCTGGGTCCCAAGGCCATAGACTCCGTCAGCCAGATGAGTGAGGAGGTGGACACGCTCCCACTCCTGACCCCAACCTATATGTCTGTGTGGAGTTTCCTGGGGCCAGGCCCTCGGACCTCCAGTGGGAGCAGAAGGTGATGGTCAATGGGGAGACATTCTTGGGGTGGCCAAAGGGCATGGGCTGCATAAACCTTCCCACATGCGGCCTGCGAGTGCTATCGACCACCCCTGACCTAAGGGAGGGCGTGAAACTGGAAGGGCCTGGTGTAACTCCTACCAAGGAATGGGAGAGATGCTGGGGCATCCATGGGAACGTTGGTGGCTTCGAACTTCCCCAGGTCACCGGCTAAAGTGACCCCGCTCAGTTCGATCTCGAAGGGGGGAGAGATGTGACGAAGTGGGACTGTTCTTAATGTTTCCTCTGAATAGTGTGGGGGTGCCTCAGTTTCCCCTAGGCAGTTCTTAAGTATCTAGGGGGTGGAGTAAGGGTGTATGATCATTGCAGAGCCCTAGAGGGCAGGTGTGTGCAGGAGTCTGGACACAGAGAATGGCCGACACCCTGTTTCCTGGCAACTGATGGCCTGGGCCCTTCCCCCCTGCAAGGTGAGAGCTGAAGGGTTGGAGAACAAAGGAATCAGGTGACCACCTGGCCCGGGAAAGGAACAAAGCCCAGAGGAGGAGGGGCTGGAGGGAGTGTCAGTTTGGGGCTGGCTGGGACATGGAGTGAAGTGCAGACGTGGTTGTCTGGCTCACTGTCCCCCAAAATGGACCCAGCTGAGGGGTCCCGTTCTCTGCACCTGCAAGCTCTGTTTTAGACCATGTTCCTGTCATCTAATAAACCTTCTGTTTTACTGGCTGGCTGAGAGTCACGTCTGACTGCGAAGTTGGGGTGCAGGACCCTCTGGCTTCCCCAGGAGCCCCGCCTGAGCGGACTCGCTGTGGGAAGCGCACGGAGGGGCAGAGGATGCTGAATGCTCCGAGGTCAGACCCAGGAAGGTGGAAGCTGAGTGAGCTGCGTGTCCTGAAGACAGGCTGCTCACAGAAAGGCGACTGCCCCAGAGTCCTGACTGGCTTCATGGGGAGCAGTTCCAGAGCATCGCCCAGGGACTCCGTGACAAGGTGCCAGGCACAGGCCCTGTTTTGCAAGAATGCAGCAGCATGTCGCCACTGGGGGTTTGCACGGGGGCAGGTGCACCAACGGCATTGCACTGGGCCCTGTTCTAGTTCCAGTTCCATCCCAGGCCAGAGGATGGAGGCTTTGCAGAGGGGGTTTAAGGGCCATTTGCCTTGGTCTTGTGCATGCAGATCCAGCTGGCAGACCGTCTCCTGGCCTGGTAAGGGGCAGTGGGGATGGGTGCACCTGGGTTCCCCCCTTCTGCATTCCCAAGCAGATGTGAAGCCCCTTCTCTCTGCCCATCCCAGAGGCAGCTCTCACAAGTGTGCACGGCTTCAGTGGAGCCAAGCTGCCTCCTTTGCACAAGTGCCACCTGCCCCCCAACCTCCTCTGCCCCCCAGGTCCCATCCACTGCCTTTGAAGCAGCAAAGCCGGAGCCCCCCTGGCTTCGGGAAGAATGACCTGTCGCTCGCCAGGGAGGCTCAGTGGAATGAGCATGCTCAAGCAAGGCAGGTCGTGTGGCTAGAGCCGTTAGAGCGGAGTGTGGGGGTGGGGTGGTGTCAGGGCTCCTGGGTTCTATTCCTGCCTTAGGACAAGATTAGGGGCAGCTAGTTAGATGAGGCAACGGGCAGGTCCAGACTCCTGGGTTCTCTTTCCCAGCTGTGAGAGGAGAGCGGCGTCTAATGGTTAGAGATAGGACTGGGCTCCTGGATTTTTTCCTGGCTCTGGGTGATCTGGGCCACTCCAGGACTCTGCCCAGGTGGCAGCAGCTGTAGGCAGAGCGCCCTGCGCAGGGGGCTGGGTCCGCCAAGCCTGCTGGGGTCCCTGCCCAGAGGAGGGCAGCAGATGCCCACTGGCCCACTGATGAAGCAGAACTGACGGATGGCATCGTGCTCAGGTGAGGCAGGAACCCAGGATTCATGTTTTATGCAGGTGGCTCCCCGACAAATTCATTAATGCCTCTGTGTCTTCTCCGAAGTGGCAAAATAAAGTTGCCCGTTGTGTATGGAAGGCCAGCGCTGCTGTATTATTCATGGCTGGGTGAGCTCGCGGCCTGCATCCACCGCACAGAGCTGCCCCAGCCGCGACGCGGGGCTGATTCATTCCCGCTCACTTTACAAGGAGACAGGAAAAGGAGCACTCCCAGAAGCATTATGTTTGCTTCAAATTAATTTAGTGCCGGTGAAAGGAACCGGATTGGCAGCCCTGGAGATGAAAGGCTTTTGTTGCTTAGAGTGGTGGCAGGATGAGCTCCCCACCATCCTGGGCCTGCTCAGGGGCCCGTGCAAGGCTCAGTTCCCTGGGCCCTTCCATCCCTTGGCCTCTCTGCTGAGCCTGCCCACACAGGGCCAGGCGATGGTGGTGCCCGCTGAGCTGTCCCCAGGTTATTGTGCACAAGCCACTCCACGGCCGTCAGACAGGAACCGCGCCCAGGTGCTGGACCGGAGCAGAACCAGGGGCCGAGCTGTGGAAGGCTCCATCCACCTCAGTGCTGGTCCCATCGACGTTTGGGAGAGATGTTTCCCAAGGTGAACGTGCTGGGGTCCAGGGCGCCTATTTGCTGCCTCTGTGCCTTGGGCTCCTGTGACCTGCGCTCGCAGGAGATGGGGCTGGATGAGCTAACCTGTCTGTAAGTCTGCCCAGGGCCATCACCGCAGTATCTAGGCAGTGGCAGATTAGCCACTGGGCTAACGGGGCCTGTGTCTAGGGGCCCCGGCCAATTGGGGTGCCCCTGCGCCCCGACCAGCTCTGCCTGGCGCTCCTGCGGGGAGCAGGGGAAGCCCCTGAGCCTCGATCTCGCTCCCCGGCAGGAGTGCTCTGGGGGGACTGCAGGCGGAAGGGGTGGGGAGGGCCCCCCACTTGCTCTGGCCCAGGGCCCCACAAACCCCTTATCCGCCTCTGTGTCTAGGCAAATGAGAGCTTCGTGCCAGTGTCTATGAAGCCCATCACCGCAGCATCTGAGCGCTACACGAGCTCTCCATGTTGGAGTCTACAGAACCTGTCACTACAGGGTCTGCGGGCTGGGCAGGTACGTGAAATCTCTGTGCCAGCAGCTTTAGTGCCCATCACTGCTGCGTCTGAGCACCGGGCAGGGCCAGGAGAGCCCCTGGCTGGGTCCCTAGGGGTCGCTCCCAACTCCAGCTCCCGTGACCCTGTGTATCTGGGATCAGTGAGCTCTGGCATGTCCGGATGAGACAGGCCCAGGGCAGGGGTGTGACGAAGCGGGACTGTTCTTAATGTTTCCTCTGAATACTGTGGGGGTGCCTCAGTTTCCCCTAGGCAGTTCTTAAGTATCTAGGTGGTGGGATAAGGGTGTATGATCGTTGCAGAGCCCTAGAGGGCAGGTGTGTGCAGGCGTCTGGACACAGAGAATGGCCGACACCCTGTTTCCTGGCCACTGATGGCCTGGGCCCTTCCCCCCTGCAAGGTGAGAGCTAAAGGGTTGGAGAACAAAGGAATCAGGTGACCTCCTGGCCCGGAAAGGGACAAAGCCCAGAGGAGGAGGGGCTGGAGGGAGTTTCAGTTTGGGGCTGGCTGGGACATGGAGTGAAGAGACGGGATTGTCTGGCTCACTGCCCCCCAAAATGGACCCGGCTGAGGGGTCCTGTTCTCTGCACCTACAAGCTCTGTGTTAGACCATGTTCCTGTCATCTAATAAACCGTCTGTTTTACTGGCTGGCTGAGAGTCCCGTCTGACTGCAGAGTTGGGGGGCAGGATCCTCTGGCTTCCCCAGGAGCCCCACCTGAGCGGACTCGCTGTGGGAAGCGCACGGAGGGGCAGAGGATGCTGAATGCTCCGAGGTCAGACCCAGGAAGGTGGAAGCTGGATGAGCTGTGTGTCCTGCAGACAGGCTGCTCCCAGAAAGGAGACTTCCCCAGAGACCTGACTGGCTTCATGGGGAGCAGTTCCAGAGCATCGCCCAGGGACTCCGTGACAACGGGATACTGGGCCAAGCAAACTAGGGGGATTGAGGAAAATATTCCAGTGTCTGTGACGCTTGCTCCCTTTGCCTGCTAAGACATCCCACTGTTATTCGTGATTAATTATTGAACACTGGCTGGAGGGGGATTGGGGTGTCAGTAACAGTCCTCAGACGGCGCTCCCCTCCCCTCTTCCCCGCCAGGCCCTGCACATCGATTCCCTGCCTCCTTCACAGGCCAGCACAGCCAGGGAATCGATGTGCAGGGCCTGGAGGGGAAGATCTGAAGAGCTCCCGGAATAGCAGGGTGGCAGAATCAAAGGAGGAGACTCCCAGGGCCTCCTCTGATCTCCAGCCACCTTGTTTTGTCCAGGGGGCGGATGGCAACCTGAGCCACAGCTACAGAAGGGATCAGAGATGGGAAGAGGCCTCGCGGATGGTCATGCCTGTGTCCCCTTCCCTGCCCCAGAGAGAAATAGGAGGAACAAAAGAAGGGATACAAATAAACAAGGAGGTGGTTAAAAATCGAAAACCTGCCACTTGTGCTCAGTGGCAGGCAGCGGCCGGGCCAGGGCACCTGGGCGTGAGTGTGTGGAAACCTCACAGTGTGAGACAGAACGGAAGAAGGGGAAATGCACCCCTCTGTGCTTAGCCCAGCACCCACGGCCCAAGCGCCCGGTGCAGCCTGACGCTCCCCGTGGCTCCATACAGGCCTGTTGCTCGGAGACTGATCTGCTGAAGGGCCCCGGCACTTGACCATCACCAGCAGCCTTCTGATCACTCTGGATGTACTGTGCCGTTGAAATCCAACCTCCAGCTCCCTCACCGGCCACCTGGCTTGATCTCCTGCCCCTTCCTCAGGCCTCCCTTCCCGGCCCTGCTGGGACCCAGATCATTCTTAGCCCAGAGCCAGGTGATGGCTGAAGGCGCATCTTCCGGCCCCTCCCAGACTGATGTGAGGCTGGGATACGGGGCAGGGAATCTCCCCGGCTGCTGCCCCTGGAGCCCGGAACCCACCCGCTTCTACATGCCAACACCTATGGGGAGAGAGTCTGTACTGCGCCCCCTGGAGGCAGAGCGCAGAAGGAGCAGCCTGGGGGCAGAAGGTGGCTTTCAGCCACTCTAGCACCCTCCCATTTCTGGGCTGCCAGAGGCCAGGGTCTGTTCTAATGTAGGGCAGCCTATTAGCTGCTCCACAGCTCTGAGCAGCAGAGACCAGCTGTAGCCTAGCCTAGCATGCCCCCTCCCACCTCCAGACACGCCCCCTGCACTGAGGCTTGGGGTGGGGGACAGCACATGGCTGCTTCCAGCTGCCCAACATAGTACCTGCCCTGGGGGTGTGCGGTTGCTTCTCTCCCAGTTCCTGCAAGGCTCTTGTAGCTAGTGGGACCTTTCCCTTGCATCAAAGAAGGGCAGCTGCAGGTGTCAATTTGTTTTTAGCTTGAAATATGTCATGCCTACATCTTGCCCTTTCCCCACCCCTTGAGACATTTCAAGTCTTTGGAGTTTTAGGCTGGAACAGCCAAAAAAAAAAAAAAAAATCCAATTTTTTTCAAGGCTCATTTAAATGGAAATAGGAAGACAGGAATTTTTTTTTTGTGAAAAGAATGACAGAATATAATTATGTGCAGTAGCAATCCAGCAGCAGTGAAGTTTGGAATTAGCGGCAGAAAGATGCCCTCGCAGCATTAAATTAGCCGAGCGCGGGAGCCAGGAGTCTCAGCTGTGTCACTGCATCTGGGAAAGGAAATGGAAGGCAAAAAAATAATAACAATAATAATAAAAGGCAAAGCAGATTGCAGGGGCTTATTAACTGTTAAAAAAATTTATTAAAATGTCCAGCAATACAGAAACGCAGAGTGTCATCAATGCCACGGGGGGTTGGGGATACAGGACACTGCGGTCACATCGCAAACAGCAGAGACGGGAAAGCGGCTGGCTGCGTTGTCACACACACGCGCACACACCAAATCAACCCGAATGACGACAAACAGAAAAAAAACCCCAACCACAAAACAAAGCGGGAGGGCCTCGATCCTGCAAAGGCATTGGGACTGATTCTGCCAACCTTGGGGGAAATTCAGCCCCCTCCCCGTGTGAAAGGCCCAGCACAAGGCCTATGTGCCATGCAAGGCTACGACTGCTCTGGAGCTGAAGGTGTCATTTGCAACGAGCCGCAGCAGTGCGGGCAGTGGGATGGCCCAGCTGGCCCAGGGATGAGCCCGTCTGTGGCCCTAGGTAACACGTCCAGGGGTACATTCCCATTTCAGGTGCACTGGCATGATCAGGTGCAGCCACACGAGTTGGATATGACACCTCCAGCTCCGGCCCAGACCCACCCTCCCTTGGTGTAAATCAGTCCAGCTCCTTTGGATGCAAAGGAGAGGCAGCGGGGCTAGTGGACAGGACTGGGGCGGGCGGGGTTCCAGTCCTGCTACCGCCTTGGGGGGGTCACTTCCCGCCTCGGGGCCTCTGCTTCGCCTTCTGCGCTTTGTCTGTTCGGGCCGTGAGCTCTGTGGGGCTGGGCCAGCTCTGCTGTGCAGCGACTCGCACAATGGGGCCCAATCTCAGTTGGGGGCTCCAGGTGCTGCCATTCAAAAGGGGAGACTCTCAGTTTGGATCGGTGCATAGTCCTTGTGCCGACCTCGGTCCACAGCTGAATTTCACTTGGGCAAGTTCCCTATTGCTCGAGGAGTCCCATTGAAATCGGCCAGGCAGCTCCAGTGAGGGTGGCAGAATCCAGCCCTTATGCGCCGGGGTAACTTTACTCACCCGAGCAGCCCCACTGAAGTCAATGGGGCCAGAGCCCCAGATGCTGTAAATCAGCCCCGCTCCCCTGGCGTCAACAGGCCAGATCTGCAGCTGGTATAAACTGGTGCAGCTGCACCAGCGCTGATTTACCTCCGCTGAGGGCCTGGCCCAAGGGGATTGCTCACGTCACCTTTGTAAGATCCGTGCTTTAAAATGAAAAGCAGACCCTGGATCCTTGGTACGTCTGTCCTGGGGCAGGGGCTGGAGACAGGAAGAACCATCAGCACAGAATTAAAGCGTAACGGCCTGCTGCTGCCTACGCTCCCAGACCCCAGGGGGAAGGGATGGAAAGGCGAGAACAGACCCCACCCTGGAGGGTTTTCCTTTGTTTTTGGTTGAGAAGCATCCCAACACCACAGCAATACTGGCTATCAAGGGACGCCTGCTCCCCCTTGTCTTTCCCACAGTGCGTTTTCTACCCGTTGCCTTTTGCCCCGGGGAAAGGAAGATAGCAAATAAAATGAAGACAGATGGAAGCGAAGGGATTCCGAGACGACCACTGCGTTGTAACCCGTCGGTGGCTGGGATTTGCTTTGCTTTCCCGGTCCGTCGGGGAGACCGAAGCTGGAAAAGGATTGTCACCTATTCAGACAGGACTCTGGTGTGGGCTCCTAGGGGACCTGCCCTTGGTTTTAGTAAGGACATTTGTTTCCCAATACGGAGAAAGCTTCAGTGCTTTGAGTGTGAGCGTGTGTCCTGCTCTGAGCTTCTGTACTTCTAGCCAGTCAGGAAACCACTGGGTCCGAAAGGAAGAGAACGGAACATAGTTGCCACCGGGGGGGAGGAGCGGAAGAGGGGGCCTGGCAGGAGGGGACTATAGGGACCTGCTACTTGGGGAGGGAGGGAAGGGAGGGCAAAAAGGAAGGGGGGGGTTGTTTATTAAAAAACTGGAGTCTCCCTTGCAGAAGGCCAGAGGGATTGGGGATGAGGAGTCACACTGGGGTTTTGCCCAGAAGAGGAGCCCAAGCAAAGGAGCCAGAGATGGGGAGGGGAACAGTCTGTCCTGCCTCCCTGGGAACAAGGCCGAGATCCCAGCTGGAGTGAATCCGCCCGGCTCCACTGGAGTTAGCGGGGACTTCGACATTCCCAAAACAACCCCCTGCAGTCAGTCTCTGAGGCTGGGCTCTGAGACTCGCTGCTGCGGGGTTGTTTTGCTGTGTAGACGTACCAAACCGGGCCAAAGCCCTCCCCTCCCTCCACCGGTGTGAATCGGTGTAAAGCCACTGAAGTGGACAGTGGCCTCAGGTTACAGTGGCTGAGGATCAGGCCCTGTACGGACGTGCAAGGACAGTATGGACCCGTCCTGGGAGCCTGGCCTGGCCTTTGCGCTCAGTGGGAGCCGGGATGGGTGGGGCCCAACAACTTGACCCTACGTGGTGCTGAGCGGCTCCTGGGAGGGACTGAGCACCTAGCAGGGTCAAGGCCTTGTGTATGCACAGAGGGACACAAATGCACACACACGTACCCCGCCCAGGGACGCAGGCGATGGGGACTGGGGGCGTCCTAAGGAATTAAAACAAAGGGGTTTAGAAAAGGGGGGCTGGGGGGGGTCAGTAAAAGTTGCCCTTTCCCATCACACACACGTGCCCGGCTCATCCCGGGGCGGGGGGGGAGGGGACTTGTGCTTGCTCGTCACCAGCCTCTAGAAGTAGTTGCCTTCCTCCATCCAGTCCAACTGGAGCTGCTTCCTGTGTTTTCTCCTCTCCTTGCGGGAGCCGTGGTGGTGACGCGGGTGGTTATGGTGGCGACGGCGGTGGCGCCGGGTTCTGTGGGACCTTCTGGCTAACGGAGGCAAAGAGGAGAAGGGGGAGGCGTCACCGTGGGGCTAAGCCACAAACGCCCCCCACCCCCGGGGGTCGAAGCCGAAGAAGAGAGGACAGGACACTGGAGTCCTCCCACGCCGGTGCTGCAGGGTGGGGCGGCGAAGGGGCATTGCACTGCGACAGGTGGCAGCTTTGGGGCGGGACAGCAGACGAAGGCTCGTCTTCACTGCAGTATTAGCTCGAGGTCCAGCTCCAGCGTGGCCCCACCTCGACTCCCGTCCACACACGCACGCAGGTTAAGTGGTGCTTTAAACTGGAGGGATCTGACCCAGGCGCGTGTGCGCGGACGTTTGAAAGCTGTGGCTGCAGCGGGGATGAGTTACAACAGCCCAGCAGCTGCTAACCCGACCCCTCTGCCCAGCCCCAGCCCCGGTGTGCGGTGAGATCACACCCGTTTGCGTGGAGGAACGCGCACTAATCGGCAGTGAAGACAAGGCCTGAGGGCTACTCCGGTGCAGCCACTTCTGGGGTGGAAGGCAGCAGCTGCTCAGCATTCTCCATTTGAGAGCGCAGGGCAGTGTAAGCAGGGAGAGACGCCCCTGGGATCTGGCCAGGACATTGGGGCTAAATGCCTCCTCCCTCCGGGGAAGGAGCCCGGTGTTTCACCCCCAGCACAGCTACCTTCAGCG